TATGACCTGGCTGCCCCTATGAGCATTTGAGGATTGGTCCTGGCTCTACCCCTTCTCATTTCAGTCTCCACTAGCCTTGCTCTGCTCTCCCAGCCCCTGCCTGGTCCTCTCTTCCAGTCAGAAGGGGAGGCCAGCAAGTGGTCAGCCATGTGGGCAGGTGCTTCATGTGCCTTGACAATGACAACAAATGAAAGCACAGAAGAGCTTGCCTTCACCTCCCCAGATGTCACTCAGAGCTTGAAAGTTTTTCTGACATTGCAACAGCCAGATTGATAAGCCTGGACTTTAACACACCCAAGTGCCCAGGAGTCTGGAACAAGATAAGGCTGACCATTCACCTCATGACCTGGACTCTTGAGTCAGCCTCTGGACCACCCGGCCTCGCTGGGTGACAGATGATCGGCCAGTCCAGCAAACAACCTCCTCAAGACTGGACTCACTTTCCTAGAGTCCATCTTTGTCTGCTAGAACCTGATTTCCAAATGTTTGAAATATGATGGGGTTCAGGACAAAATACCCCCAAATTTGGTACCTTGGCATAGTGAATATTTTAAGCTGAAGCAATGTGAGAGAATTGAAAAGCAGGAAGGTCACTCTGACCTCTTCCCCAGAAACAAGCCTTAAAACTCTCCTGTGGGGCTTCCCTGGTGGCGCAGTGGTTGAGAGTCCGCCTGCCAATGCAGGGGACACGCGTTCATGCCCCGGTCCGGGAAGATTCCACATGCCGCGGAGCGGCTGGGCCCGTGAGCCATGGCCTCAGAGACTGTGCGTCCGGAGCCTGTGCTCCGCAACGGGAGAGGCCCCAACAGTGAGAGGCCCGTGTACCGCAAAAAAAAAAAAAAACCTTCCTGTGGGAGGTGCCCTCCTGGTCACAGAGGAAGGGAGCATCCTTGTCTCTCAAGACCCTTGTCTCTGAAGATAAAGGGGCACTTCCTCCAAGAATCCTGACAAACAGGCCTTGCTCAGTGGCCCCCCGGTTCTACAGACCTCAGACTCCTTAACCTATCACATTTCTCCACCACTGTCTGCTCTCCAGCAAATCTGGCATAGAAGGGCACAAGTCTAACTCTTCCTTCATTTCCTTACAAAGACTCCCGTGTCACCTAATACTTATATGAAAAAATTATGGATGATTTTCTCTTATTAATCTGACTTTGTCAATTTAATTTTTAGCTGGGGACTCTAAGACAGTCAAGGAAAACCTCTTCCTCCCCTACAATTAGCATCATTGTACCAGACATGGTGGGAAATGTTGCTAGTCTGTCAGCGTAAAATACATGCCAACTTCCAAAGACTCGCCGTAGGAAAAGAATGTGAACCAGCTTGTTAGTAATTTTACTATATTGATTACCTGTTGAAATACTATTCTGGATATATTGAGTTAAACCGAATACAGTCCTAAAACTAATTTCACTTGTTATTTTTACTTTGGTAAAAAATTTACACTTTACCTGTTTTTGTTTTTTTTTTCCATTTTACCTGTTTTTCATGTGGCTACTAGAAAATTTAGTCATATATGTGCTTTGTGTTTGTGGCTTTCATTATATTTCTATCGGACAGATAGACCGTGGCTGCTGCAGAACTGATTCTGTAAGGTTACCATATTTTTTTTTTTTTTTTTTTTTTTTTTGGCCATGCCGTGCATCTTGCGGGATCTTAGTTCCCCAGCCAGGGACTGAACCCAGGCCACGGCAGTGAAAGCTCAGAGTCCTAACCACTGGACCACCAGGCAATTCCCAGGTGACTGTATTTTCTTTTCCTCAAAAAGCAAACTGATTCTCTCTAGACTTTTTCTGGGTGGCTCTGTGCTATGACCTGCCCAAGGGTCCCGGAGGAACTCCCTTCTGGTCTCAGGGCTGGAGGCTCTTCATCGGGGCTGGGGCTGCCTTAAAGATCTCTTCCCACTCCCACATCTCCCTCGCCCTGTGCCACCAAGCTGTCCCCAGACTCTCACACGAGGCTCTCTTCCCAGCCTTGCTCAATAACCATGTGTCCACATCACTCAAAACCGCAGATGGTTTTCCCTGGAAACAATGGAACCAGTGTTGTTAACACTGCCGGGCTGCTACCACCTGTGTGATGATCACAGGGAAGTGCCCCAGCTGCAGTCCAAGACTCCCTGCCCTCCCTCACACCAGCTCAGGATCCACTGGTTTCTTCTCCCCAGAGCCTGGAGCCCCACCTTCCTGAGGCTGACAGCCCCTCAGCGAGCAGCACGTGGGGAGGCACTGCGAATGCCTGGAACTTCAAAACAGAAGGCAGGTGCTAGCTCTCAAATTCTAGAGAAACTGCTGGACACTTTATCACCACCGACAACCCACAACCCTAGAGACACAGGGCCAAAACTTGAAACTCAGAATCCTGCCTTTTTCTGTTGTTGTTTAATATATGCTTTGTCCACCTGAAGACTCAATAATGGCCCACTGACAGGGGCTCTGGGGGTGGAGCTAGCTTCAAACCTCCTTTCTACCACTCAGCACCAGTAGGACCCTGGATAAGGTTGCTCCGTTTATCTGGGTCTCAAGTTCCTCGCCTATAACAACAGGGACAACCCCACCCACCTCAAAGGTTAGAAAAATTAAATAATGCATGAAAAAGTGCCTTGCACATAATAGGTGTTTGATAGATATTAGCTTCCTTCCCCTTCAATCTTCCCATAGCAATGCCACGGAGAAGATACTTAAAAACCTCACGGAGAACTGAAAACAAACCCTCTATACTCTCATCTGGTTGCCTCTTGTATGTGTGCTTTTTTAAATCTGAATGTTGGTGCCTGATACAATTTAAGAGGGTGGTAGGAGAACTGTGAGAAGCAGGGATTCTCTTTGCAGCCCTAGCACAGCGTCTGGCAAGGCAGGTGCTTGTCGAGTGAAGGAATGACTGTTGGACTTAGGCCAGCAGGGACTGGTGGCTCGTGGAGCCTATCAGCGAAGCACTAGAAGAGAGGGGTCAGAATTACCATGAAACACAGGGGTTTGGCTGATCAGTGTGAAGACTGCGGCCACAAAGAGTTATTCTCTGGAAAGATGCTTCCAATCTGTTTAGACAGCTTTGTGGAGGCTTTTTTTTTTTTTTTAAACTGCAAAGCTCAAGGTGTTCTGTTAATATTTCTCCTCCATTCGGCCATGCTTTCCTCAGAGAGAAAGGTTAAAACATATGCCAAGAACCAAACACAGTCACCTCTACGTGAGGAAGCATAAACAATTCAGCTTTTCATATTTTTTTTAACTTAGCACAGTGGGTTAAGCTAAAAGAACACACTAAATTGATGGCTCTGTGATACAAATATATGCTGTCAGGGTGTTTTTAAATGTAAAATTCTTAGCATTTTCTGACCTTAGTGGGGAGTAGGCATGGGCAATGAGTAACTATTCTTACTCAATTTTAAAGATATATTTGGTTTTAAGTTCCTTTACAGCTGTGTGCAGAGGGGTCTGAAAACCAATTTGTTTTTGCTCCATGGTGAACAAAAAAAAGTGTTGGGTTCTCTGATCTCACCAGGCCACCTGAGGGCCCAGTTAGCTCTTCTGCCCTCCCCAAACAATGGGTTTGGGATTGCAGTGACCCTGTCTGAATCCCGTTGGGTCTGCGAATAGGGAGATTTAACCCTCTGGAAGCTCGAAAAGTCCTGCGCATCGCTCCCCAGCTTTACCCTCCTATAAAGAAAACATCCAATAATGTCAAACCTGCCAGCAAAGCTGCAATGGAGATGTTCAAATTCACAGTCACATCACCTTCAGGAGGGGTTGGTAAATGTCACCCTTAATACCTATTTTTTAATTGCCTTGAACAAAAAGATCCAACCTGTTTCATCCCCAGACTTCAAACCCATTCAATCTTCTGAACATTCAAACCCACAAGTTAAAGAAAACTGGATAAAGGATTTTATGTTGCTTGTTTGTGCTGAAGAAGCCCTGTCTGTTGCTTTCATTGATTGCTTTACACTATTACCCAAGTGGCAGGCCTTTCTGGCCTGAAAAAACTTAGCTCAAGTTACCTTTTTGCTGGTAAAGATGAACAGAATGGAAATTTACCTTTAGGGAAATTTGTACATTTCTGACCCAAATAAGAACTTCCTAAATGAAAGCTTAAATACTCTAAATGTAATGAACAGGTAAGAGAAAACAAGCCTACAAGAACTAAGGGTTACTGGTCATTTGTTAAATGCATAGCCACAAATGCATGTGCTTGGGAAGACGTGAGACGCCAGGCAGTGGTCCCGATAAAGAAGGGCCCCGTAAATAGTTGCTTCAACCTTTCAGAGACAGCAATCAGACTCACGACATGCCCACCTTTCTGGGTCATATCCACACTGAGATGCAAAGAATTTGAGATTCTCCTTCCCAAAAGAAGTAAAGACAAAGGAGTAAGATATGAGCTTTCCAGGTCTTTCCAAGGTTTCTAGGCCTTGAAAATTCAGAGCAAGAATTCGACTCCACCCTGCTGCCCTTGGCTCTAAACCCCAGGGAAGGAGGTTGGCACAAAGCATTGTTCCCACTGTCCTGGCTTCAGCTGTGTATAAAGAAGGTGAGAGCAGTTCCAATGCCACCAGGGCCCCGCTCTGCCTTTCCATGTGGTGCAGGAGATACTGTGCTCTAGGAAAAGCTGGCTGGACAGGAAAAAAGCACCTGCCAACCTCTGATGACACAGAATAGTCTGACGCCCAGGGGCTGCTCCCCGGGAAAGAACAGCTTTCCTGTCCAAGCTGGTGAAGTAAGTTCAGGGATGAGATCATAAAAACAGCATGTGTTCCAGAAGCACCCTTTCTGTTGGTGGAGGAGAAACTGTGAGTGACAGCAAAGGTCCCTCCTTTTGTTTCCCCACTTCTCTTACACAGTCACCCAGTCACAATCACTCACTCACACTATCAGTCACACCTTGCCACAGTCACCCAGTCACAAACACACTGAAGTCAGAAAACTATAGTCTCCACACAGGGAGGCGTGTGGTACAATCAACACACTCAGTCCCACAGGGAACACTACCCACTCTCTACCCACCTGATTGCCAAAGACAGCTACGGAGCAGGCTGTTGACACCTCATTAGCCCCGAACCAGACAGAAGCAATGCGGGAGGGCATGCCCAGGATGAAGACCTGGGCCACGGAGCAGATGACCTGGCCCAGCATGGTGACTGGGAAGAGATGTGGTTTCAGGCTGCCCAGCTTCACCCAGGCCCCCAGGCAGTTGAGAGTGGAGCCGGTGAGGGCAATGGTGCGCAGGCCGAACTTCTCCAGGAGCCAGGCCACCGGCAGGAGCAGAGGAATGTAGGTCAGCATGTAGCACATGGACAGCCAGTCGATGGCAAAGGCACTGACCCCGTAGAAGTTCATGAAGATGTTATTGATGGAGCTGTACTGGATCCACTGGAAGGCATTGCACATGGAGTAGCAGCTAAACACCAGGACCACAGCCCATCGGCGCTTGCTCACCTTGATCACGCTAAGGTCCTCAGGGCCCGAGCTACCGGGGTGGGCCAAGCCACTGGCTTGAGCCAAGCTACTGGGGTGGGCCGAACTACTGGGGTGCGCAGAGACACTGGGGTGGATGGAGACGCTTGGATGGGCTGAGACGCTGGGATGGGCCAAGAGGCTGGGGTTCTCCCCGAGGTCGGAAGTCTGCGAAGGGGTGCCATTGCGCTCTTGCTGGTTAGGCTCTTCATTCACCATGACCACAGCCTCTCCTGGAGCCCTAGACAGGTGCTGAGGACTCTAGTCGACTTACGGGGAAGTGGCGTCGTCTGGTCACCTAAAGCTGACGTAGCACTTACCCGGCCCGCCCGGAAGGAATAAATGGAGTCCCCAGCCTGCGTAAAAGCCGCGAGTGGGGCTCTTTTGCTCACCCCCAAGCTTCTGCTCTCACTTTTCCTTGGCGTCCTCTGTCCCTGATTGCTGTCCCCCAGCTGCAGACGCCTCAGCCTGGTCCTGGCTCCCGGTGCCTTGAGTCCTCCCGAAGCACCTGTCGACGTTCACTCCTCCGTCCTGGAAACAGTTGTCTCCGGACGCAGCCACTCCGCGGGACTCCGGTCGCTCCCGGGCGGACTAGCGGCCTCGCCCCCTCCGGCGCACGTGACCGCCCCGCCCCCGCCCCGCGCGGCTTCCCCACCCACGACACACC